GGAGTTTCACTCATGTTACCCAGGCCGGAGTGCAATGGCGTGATCTCGGCTCACCACAACCTCCGCCTCCTGGGTTCAGGCAATTCTCCTGCCTCAGCCTCCTGAGTAGCTGGGATTACAGGCACGCACCACCATGCCCAGCTAATTTTTTGTATTTTTAGTAGAGACGGGGTTTCACCATGTTGACCATGATGGTCTGGATCTCTTGACCTTGTGATCCACCCGCCTCGGCCTCCCAAAGTGCTGGGATTACAGGCTTGAGCCACCGCGCCCGGCCCTCTCTATTCTTAATTTTGTTAATTTCTGCTCTTCATAAGATTAGATTCTTTTCTTCTGTTAAGCTGTGGGTTTAATTTGGTTTTGTTTTTTGGTTTTGCAATTTGGTTTTGTTTTTGGGGAGCCATTAGTGAGCCTCCCTGTCAGTACAGATGCTCACAGTTTCTTCAGGCATTCCAAGCTGGGGCCCTAGGAGTCCTGGGGGTAGCTGGGCATGTCAGGCATGCTCCCATCATTTCAGACAGGCATTGGATAATTAATTGTAGGGTGTGGCCTGGTTGATCATGATTACATACTTGGTGTAGGGGCTGAGTGGGGGCAAAATTAGAGGATGGCCCACAGTGGTGAAGGACAAAACCAGCACCAGCTCCTTGGCCCAGGCATTCGTGAGGAAAGCAGCAAGTCTTGCAGCCATCTGGTCTCAGCAGTGGCAATGGCTTGTTATTTTTTTCAGTTCCTTAAAGTATAAGGTTATGATATTGATTTGAGACCTTTCTTCCTTTTCATTTTAAGCATTTATAGCTATAAATTTCCCCCTTAGCACTGTTTATATTGTGGATTTGTTTTCATTTATCCCAAGATATTTTCTAATTTCTCCTGTGATTTCTTCTTTAATCTATTGGTTGGTTGTGTGTTATTTAATTTTCACATACTTACTGAATTTTCAGGTTTTATTCTGCTATTCATTGCTAGTTCCTTTCCATTTTGATCAGCAGAGATACTTTGTGTGATTTTAATCTTTTTATATTTATTAAGGCTTTTTTGTGGTTTAACA